CGGGTGGTGGTGGTATGACAGGAACGCGTTGGTGGTAGGCAAGGGCCGCGAGTTCCTGGCGGCGCTGCTCATCGTCGACGTGGCCCTCATGAAACGCGCTGCCAAGAAGCGCAACTGTCTCCCCAAGAAGTACCCACTCCTCGTGTCGACGTGTGGAGTGTGTTGCGTGTGGAGTGTGTCGTGTGTCATGGCTGACCCCCCCCCGCATTGCAGATTGCTCGGCAGCACGGATTTCCAGGCGCAGCTCAAGGCCATCGCGGAAACCGAGGCCATGACGGCGACGGGTCTCAAGAAGTGGTCCATCGTACCCCGGTCCCTGACCATCAAGCGCAAGTGCGTCATGCGCGTATCGTGTCGTGTTGCGTGTCGTGGCGGCGCACACAGTCGGAAGAGGAGTCTCACGCACCAACGTCGTGTGTGTGTGTGTGTGTGTGTGTGTGTGTGTGTGTGTGTGTGTGTGTGTGTGTCGTGTGTGTGTGTGTGTGTGTGTGTGTAGTGAGCTCACGCCGACGATGTCGCTGCGGCGCGAGGCCGTGGTCGCCCACTTCGAAAGGGAAATCGAGGCACGCGCCCACCTCCCAACACCGTCGCACACATCGCGGCGCACACTGTGCTCATCATGTTTATCAACCTCTCCGCTCCCTTCTCCCGCCCCCTCCGCCTCTTTTCCCGCCTCCCCTCCACCACACCATGACTCGCGCGTCGCAGGCGTTCTACGAGAACGGGCAGGCGAGAGAGGACCAGGGGCGGGACGAGGACGACTCCGAGGCGGCCGGACGCAAGAACGGGAAGCTCACCGACGGCACCTTCTACAAGAAGCTCCCCGACGGCTCCTACGAGAAGACCAACCTCAAGCAGGCCACCGTCGAAGGTGCCTTCCCCCCTCTCCTCCCCAACAATCCCCTCCGAACCTCGATGACACGCGCTGACTTGCTTTCGGGCGAACCAGACATGGAGAGGCAACTCATGCAGGCCATGAAGGAGATCCGAGAGCTCGCCAAGAAGATCAAGGTACGCCACCACTACTACTCCTGTCGCGGTGGTGAGCGGTGGTGGTCGTGGTGGTGGTCGTGGTGGTGGTCATAGTCGCTGCCCACGCCGGCCTTTCGCAGTACTGACCGTTGTGTGTGTCGTGGTGAAATTGGAATGAGCGCAGACGCTGCAGGAGCAGAACGCGGAGGACGAGAACGCGATCAAAGCCAAGGAGGCCGTCGCCAAGAAGCTCGACCTCGAACTCGACGCCCTCGCCGGCGTGCCCACCACCACCTCCACCTCAGCCCACCACCACCACCACCGCACCACCACTGCCTCGTCGTCGTCGCCCGCCGCTGCCTCGTCGTCCGCTTCGTCGTCGCCGGTGGTGGCCACGCGAGCCGTTGCGAGTGGCGGCGAAGAAAAGGCCGGCGAAGTTGTGGCGGCGGTGACGTCAGCAGCGGATGACGTGGCGCCGGCCGCGACGAAGAAGAGCGGCCGGAGCCGCTACGAGCGCCGGTCGTCGCCCCACTACAACGCCGCCAAGAGCAACAGAGAGAAGGAGAAGGTGGAGAAGGTGGAGAAGGACCACAAGGAGAAGGGCGAAGGCGGCGGCGGCGGCGGCGGTGGTAGTGGCATCAAGGTGGAAAAGGACCACAAGGAGAAGGAAGACAAAAAGAAGGCAGTCGTGGAGGAGAAGGTGGAGGAGGAGAGCGGTAAGATCGCGGGCTTACTGAAGCCGGGGAAGAAGCGGGAGAGGAGCGTGAGGCAGAAGCGGCTGTCCGAGCGCGCGGACCACGTCGCGGCCACCAACAAGGGCGGCAACAGCGACTGACGTGGGGTGGGTCCCCTCGCTTGGCGTTTATTTATTGATTTACAAATTCAATTTTAAAATTGAAAAAAATAAAAACAAAACAAAACAAAACAAAACGAAAAAGAAGTCGCAAGAGAGAGATTTCCCAACTTCTTTTCTTTTGAAAAAAAATTGGGAAGAGATCGAATCGGACGGACGACTGGAGTGCAGCGGCAACCTACTCGAAAGGGAGATTGCGTAGATGGCGGCGTGGGGTCTCTCGTGGCTAGAGACGGCCACCCAGAAAATCAGGGAGGTAGAACACTCCATCAATGCCGCCGTGGGCCAGGACGACGATGAGAGCACCAGCAGCGCGCCTCCCATCCGCGGTACTGCGTCGAAACAAAAATCAATCTTTTGAATCATTACAGATGGCAATCGCACTCACGCACGCTGACCAGGGCGCGGGGCGGCAGCATCCCCAGAGCGACACCACCACACGACCGCGAGTGCGCCGACCACCCCCACCCCGGCCAAGCCAGCAGCTGGTGAGGTGGTGGCGGGCGTGCGTCGTCCGCCGCTGCTGACCCCCCAGCCCGCCAAACCCGCCGGGTGGAGCGACGCCCGGGTACGACGCGCACGACCGCACACACCGGTGCACGCGCGATGCCTTACTGAACTCGTGTCGTGTCGTGTGTGCGGTTGTGATGTGTGTCGTGTGTGTTGTGTCATGTGTGTAGAGCAAGAAGATGAAGGAAGCGGAGCCGTCGCTGGAGGATCTGCTGAACTCGGACGCCCTGCTGCCGGTCACGACGTCGCCCACTCGGGCGGCCGCCAAGACAAGGCCGGCGGCGGCTGCCTCCGCCAAGCGGCCGACGTCGATCACCACCACCGCCGCCGCCACCAACGGCGGCCCGCCGCGTTCGCCCACCGCAACCGTGCGCAGGTCGTTGCAGGCTGCAGCGGCGGCTCCGCCCACGCAGAAGCGCAGCAGTGACTCGGGACCCGCGGCCAATGCGACCGTGCCACCACCGCCCGCCGCCGCCTCTTCCGATTCGTCCGTCGACTCAGCCGCCACCAATGGCCGAGCGCCGCCGTCGCCGCAGGAGGAAGCGCCGGCCGAGGCAGCGATCGCTGACCACCGCGCGGAGGCGAGTGACCGACGAGCAGCAGCAGAAGAAAAAGCAGTCAAGGAGGAAGAGGAGGAGACGAGGGACGAGGCCGAGCCAAGCTCGCCGGTCGGTCCAGTCGCGGAGGAGGCGACGCAGGCGATCACCACCGCCGCCAACGGAGCAGAAGAGAGCGAGGCCGGCAGCGGAAGCAGTGACGACGATGACGGCGGTGGCGCCGACCACCGGAGCGCTGGGGTCGACGGTGTCGGCGTCGGCCTCGATCAGGCGAAGGAGGCCCCGGATGCAGGCTACGGCGAACAGTCCACCGACACCGCCGACGCCGACGCCGCCGCGGACAACGTGCCAACGACAGAGGCCGCGACCCACGTCGACGGTGGTGCCGAAGTCGAGCAAGACGTGCGGGCCGACAGCGCGGACGACGTCGCACCACCACCGCCAGCAGCTGCGGAGCCGACCGAGACCGCCGCCGACGACGACTCTGTCAGAGACGTTGTGGCGGCGGCTGCAGCTGCTACCGGCGACGACGGCGACGAGCAACAACCGCCGCCGCCGGCAGCAGAAGCGTCTGGTGGTGGGTCCGAAGCCGACGCCGACGCCAGCGAGCTGCCGGAGCCCGGAGTGTCGGCCGATGATGAAACGGCGGCGGCCGCAGGTGGCGCAGTGGTGACGGAACAAGCCAAGGCGGCGGCAGACGACGGGCAGGCGGAGCGGGACCAGGAGCGAGCGGAACTGCGGAGCCGCGTGGGCACGCTGACGCGGGTGCTGGCCGACCGCGAGCGGCAGGTGGAGAGCCTGGCGCGGGAGCACGCCCACCTGCAGGACGCGTGCGCGGTGGCGGCCCGGGAGAAGGAGGAAGCGCAGCGGTGGCGGCGAGAGGCCGAGGCCAAGATGGCGCACATGCGCGACGAGTTCGCCCAGCGCGTGGCCGCTCTCGAGCGCACCACCGCCAACCTCACCAGGGAGCGCGACACCCTGTACGCACACACACGACACACACGACACGCGCGCGACACGGTTTGACGTGAACTTGTCAACAGGTACCAGAAGCTGCGCAAGCGGGAGGACAAGGACAAGGAGGACAGTGAGAAGGACGAGATCATGAGCCAGCTGCGGGAAGAGGGTACGCATCGTGGCCATGCGTGCGCCCCGTTCTCCTTCCATTCTAACTCTGTGTCGTGTGCGTGCGTGCGTGCGTGTGGCGCGTGTGGCGTGTGTCGTGTTGTGCGTAGGTGAAAAGCTGTCGCAGAAGCAGCTCAAGTTGGAGAGCACGATCAAGCAACTGCGCACCAAAGAGAAGGAATCAGACTCCACCATCGCCTCCCTCAAGGAGCTGCTTGCCGACGCTGAGGCCCGCGTACGCTCCCCCCCAATACGACACACACGACGACACACGCCGCCTCGCGCTCACTTCTCCGCCTGACTCGCCGCCCACAGGTCGAGCTCGCGCAGTCCAAGACCCGCGACAACGATTCGCTGCTGGCCAAGTACAACGACATGGTGGCGGGGCTGAAAGAGGCGGCCGAGCTCGCCGGTCGCCACGCCGAGGACAAGGACCGCATCGTCGCCGCCGCCCAACAACGCGTCTCTGAACTCGAGGCACCGCTCCTCCCTCCACTGCCGCTTTTCGTTCTTTGTTTCGTTTTTCGTTTTCCTTAATTTGTTTTGTAACTGCTGCGTGCAGGCCGAAAAGGAGAAGGCGCACCGACAGGCGGCCGAGGCGCGCAAGCAGCTGCAGGCGGCCGAGGAGCGCCGAGAGGCCGAGCTCGACAAGGCGCGGGCGGAGGCCAAGGACGCCCTCCACGACCACCTCCGACGCGCCGACGAGCGCGAAGCGGCCCTCGCCCTCACCGTGCAGCAGCTGCGCGCCTCCCTCGCCAACGTGGGCGAACAATCTGCGGTACTACATTTCCTTTTCCTTTTCTTGGTCGTTTTAATTAACTTTACATAAAATGCAAATAGAAAATGTTAATATATTCTATTTCTCAAACGCAGGGCCGGGAGGATTTGCTGCGACAAGAGCTACAGTCGCTGCAGGGCCGACTGGCGGCGGCCGAGGCGCGCGCGGCCGAGGTGTCGACGACTATCGCCGAGGCCACCACGCCGCTCGTGCGGCAGATCGAGGCGCTGCACCAGGCCCACTCGCACGCGCTCCAGGAGCAGCACCGCATCGAACGCGCGCTCACCGATCGCATCAAGGAGGAGGAGGAGCGCGCCGAGGAGGCCCACAGTGAACTCCAACGCGCGCACGACGCCATGGCCAAAATGGTACGACACCCGTGTCTACCGCCCGATCGCACTCCTCGAGTGTTGGGCTTCGTTTTTTTTGCTGACACGACCCACGACGCGACACACCCCATAGCGGACGCGAATGCGAGAGCTCGAGGCGGAGAACGAGGAGCTGGGCGCGCGGGCGAGGGCGCTGGCCAAGCGGGCCGACGACGAGCAGCGGCAGGCGACCGAGGCCCGCGAGGAGTGCGAGCGGGCGCGCCAGGCTGCGCAGCGCGCACGTCAGGAGGCCGACGAGGCCCAGCGCGACTACGAATCGCGGCTCGCTGCCGAGCTGGCCAAGGCCGCCAAGGACCACCAGCAGATGGTCCACCAGATGGCCGCCGCTGCCGCTGTGCCGGGCCGGCCGTCAACAAGGACCACCACCACACGGCCGCGAT